AGGGGATATATTCCCTGAAGGCATCTTTCCTTCCTTTACTAAGCCTCACTGATTCTAAGTTTCAGCCTCACATTTTGACTGTGGTCTCAGTGTTACTGGCCAGGTCCTTCTCCATGGTCTCCTCCCACCTCTGAGGATCAAACTAAAAGCAAGGTACTCACACTTGGCCCAGAGAGACCATCGGCGAAACTCCGCATTCCTAAATATTTGTTCTTTGAAATGTCTTTCAATTAGATCTCGCCCAAATGTTTGAGAGTCAGGCTGAATTCCAACATCCTGCTCCAGAACAGCCATGTTGAGCCTGCATAATTACTGCAGCCAGCTTTATTTGCTATAAAAACATGGATTTTTGCTCCTTCTCAACTATAAAATAATCAATAAATAGAATCCAGATGAAAAATGCTGGCGTTTAGAACAACTCTTTTATGGTTTTTTTTTTTCGGGTCTAATTAACACATTGGGGATAAAGTGCACTGTTACGTTTACCCGACCAGCTATGCTGAAATACAAACTCTCCTCTTCCTGCTGAGATACAGCTTCATATCAGAAATACAGGAAGACAGACAGACAGAGTTCCAAAACATTTTGAAACGCTCAAGAAACAGACCTGTGAACCTGTGATGTGGACTTCCTTCAGCCCCTCTCTGTTCACACTGGCTGTTCAGTTGTTCCCCCCCGAACCCCTACCTCTTCCTTAAGAATACATTGCATAGTTACTGTCAAATGAAATAGATAGTCCCATTAGCAGGAGAAGCAATCTCTCTGACTTTCAGTCTTTTAAATAAAGAAAATATGGTTTTTTTGGACAATGACCACCCAGACCATGAAAGTTTCAAGAGGGGCTCTCAGAGTGGATGACACCTTTTCAATTATAACAGTGTTATAATAAACCCCCACAGAGCCACCAGGGATGGAGTCTACATCCAATACACGACACCTATTTATTCCCTAATTACATTGCAATATATTCTCTCTGTGTGTGTGCTGATGAAGATAAAATATTCTTTTAATTCTATGGCCTCCTGGGGGGTGAGGGGGAGGGGATGCACATAGCAAGTCCTATGAGTTCCTAGAACTAAATCACAGCCTTCATTCCAGGCTCCCCAATTTTATAATCTCAAAAAAAAAAAAAAATCATTCACTTTCCCTTGTTCTACCACATTGGTTTTCCAAGTGTGGTCTCCAGAACTAGAGCATCAGCATCACCTAGGAACTTGTTTAGAAATGCAAATTACTGGACCTACTCCACACCCATTGAATCAGAACATTGGGAGGGTGGCCTAGTAACATGTGTTTTCACAAGCCCTCCACACTGAAATCTGAGCATCGCTAGTGTGCCAGGAAGAAATGCTTTTCTAGGAAGAAAAAAATCAGCATTTTAAATTGAATCGGGTATCAGGGACACCTGGATTCTATACGGGCTGGGCCCCTCTGACTGCACAGCATTCCCAATCTGCAGATTCAGGCCTCCATTTACCCATCTGTATAATGGAGCTCCAGAGCACACCAGCTGTGGATGCTGAAATTTAAGAGGAACACGGTTACCTGGCACCAGTCTCTATGGATACCTAGCAAGATCATAGTTGCCAACATTCACCAGCTCTCTGCCACCGTACCCTACTTGGCAGCAGTTCTTCGATGCTGCATCTAAGATCACACTGCAGCTGCCTCTGGGTTACCCCTGGCAACGAGGAGCTGGGGTCATGGGCAAACTGCACAGCCAACAGCTTCAAACCTTTCACCTTGGAGCCTTGAGGCACTAGAGGGGAGGTTCAGAATTCTGTTATATTGTCCCATTTTAGGACCTCTTCAGACATCATTATGTATATGCCTCTGTTCTATAACTAGACGTTAAGCCTATGGAGGACAGAGCTTAGAATGTCAGCATCACAAGGTATGGGACACTTCCTGTCTGATTCATCGCTGTATCTCAAGGGCCTAGACCAGCGCCTAGCACAAAGAAGGAGCTCAAGAACTATTTACTGACTGCATGTTCCTGCTTTTCATAAGTCCGGAACACTGAAGTAGCTAAAAGTTATGGCTGGGAAAAGGCAAAAGGGCTGGGCGAGGTGGCTGATGCCTGTAATCCTAGCACTTTGGGAGGCCGAGGCAGGAAGATTGCTTGAGGTCAGGAGTTCAAGACCAGCCTGGCCAACATGGCGAAACCCCGTTTCTACTAAATTAGCCGGATATGATGGCGCACACCTGCAGTCCCAGCTACTTGGGAGGCTGAGGCTGGAAAATCACTTGAACCCAGAAGGCAGAGGTTGCAGTGAGCCAAGATCGTGCCACTGCATTCTAGCCTGTGTGAGAAAGTGAGACTCTGTCTCAAAAAAAAAAAAAAAAAAAAAAAAAAAAAAAAAAAAAAAAAAAAAGGGAAGGAGCAAAAGAATGAGAATGATTGAAACCCCTGGGAATCACGAGACAGAAAAAAGAAGCAAAAGCCAGAATATTGCCCATCTGACTCCACCACCCTTGGCTCTGACTTGGGGCACTGACTTGCCAGCCAATTGCCCACTCTAAGTCTAGGCCTAGAAGACTTCTGGGGCCGCGTTCGAAGCTTGCACTCTCTGAGCAACTGGCTCTTCTAGCTTCCCTAGTGACACTCACTCAGAAGCCCAGTGCTCACTGGCCCTGACAGTGCTGTGCTTTGACCAGCTACTTAACCAGCTTTCCTGCCTCCTTCTTAGGAGGCATCCCGTGTCCTGACAACCGTCCTTCCCCACCTGGAAACCTACTGAGGATCAGCTCCTAATCTTGCCTTCTCCAGGGACTATCCCTAATCCAGCCCCTCCCGAAGTGATTTCACCTGAGAATGCCGATTTGCACTCACCTCCTTGACTACAAATCAATGGCTCCTCTTTCCCTATGGGTGGCACCTGATGGGGCTGAGCCCTCTGTGTGGCCTCCGTTTACCCCCAGGGCCCGGTGCAGGGACAGAACAGGTATGCAACAGACTGTCACAGGAGTGATTTATCCTGGGAGATGCTCCCAGCACAGCACCTAACCTGAAAATCCAGAGACAGGTCCTTTGCCTCTAACCTCACACACACCCAGGCCCGGAGCCTGTCACAGATGTGCAGTGGCCTGACTGGGAACACCTGCCCTGTGCGGAGAAAGCTGTAAAGTCCGTGTGGAGTACTAGAAAAGGCCCTGACTCGACAGTCGGGAGACTCGCTTTACCTACTCCTCCTCCACATAGCAGCCCTAAGCAAGGCTTTTCACTTCTCAGGACCTCGGTTTGCTGATCTGTGAGTGGGAGGAAGTGGCAAGATTGCAGTCCTAGACCTGGAATTTCTAGCGGCTTACACAAAACGTGAGCAACGGAGGGAGCGTGTGCATGGTGTGCACTCGGAAAATCCGCCAGAGGAGCAGAGGATGCTCCCGTCTGTTCAACGCCCTCGGGGCACCCCGCCCAATCTGCAGGGAGCGACTGCAGAGGGACCCTCTCCGCAAAGCCCCGAGTTTGGTCCCACGAAACCCCCCAAACCTCTGAAGAGAATCTCCCGACAGCACCCCAACAAAGAGAGCTGCTGGACCGGGGCCCCGCTGGCTCCGGGAAGCCGCAGAGGTCGGCGAATCCTGCACCTCAGACTCCGGGAGCGCGTGGGACAGAGCCCCCGATAGGCTCCAACTGCCCCGGCCTGCCGCCGCGCGCCGCGCCCAGCTCGGGCTTTAACCCCTGTCTCCCCGGCAGAGCGCCGGAGGAGCGCCGGTAGCCGGCACGAGGACCCCTGCCCGAGCGAGCCGAGGTGGCCGGTAGCACACGCCATCCCAAAGGCCTCCTTCAACCCGCTGAAGACCCTGTTCTCTCGACTCTTGGAGGGATGGAGGGTGGGCGATCCCGAAGAGGACCCACTTCGAAATATTTTTCCGGAGAGCATCACCACCCGGGAGGCGGTCACGCTGGCCTCGCAGCGCCGGCTGCGGTGCACGGATCCCGAGATGCGGCTGCCGCGGAGCCAGCGAGTCCGGGTCCAGGAGAAGCCGCCCGGGCTCGGGAGCTCCGGGGCTCCGGGGACCGCCACGCCGAGGCTTGGCGCTCCCGGGATCGGGACAGGTGGTGGCTGCGTCCCACTCACGAGTCTTGACGCCCGCGAGGAACGATTCTATTTTTAAGTCGTAATGTTTTTCTAACAAATTAGGAAAATAAGCCAAGTCCAGGAGGAAGGCGGCTGCGCTCGGCAGCTCCAAGGAGCCACAACCAGCGCCCACTTCCCCACCTCCAGCACTACCGCCCACGGCTGGGCGCGAAGTTGGGAACTTCGGGGCCACGCTCCAGGCGCTCGCAGACAGTGACTCGCTTCTCCTTTAACTTTGGGAGCCAGGGTCGCCACCGAGGGCTGGAGAGCCGTCCAGGGAGCCGACCCACACGGCCGTCCGGGTCCTGGACTTGCGGGAACAGAGTAAGGGCGACGGGATGAAAAAGAAATAAGCGGATACACGTTCTGTTTCGCTTCTCCCAAAAGCAAAAGCGTGCGTGGCACCTGCTGGGGCTTGGAGACCACGAGGAGCACCGCCGGCCACGGCTGGGAACCTGCCGCGTCCCCGCAGGCTCTGCGTCCCGACCCCGGCGGTGCAGTGCACGCAGCCCGCGCACCCGGGGCGGCTTGAGAGCAGAGTCCCCAGACTCAAGGGGGTGAGTGGGCGCCCTCCCCGGGTCACCCGCGCCGTGCCGCTGCTCTCTGGTCTTCCCCCGCACGTGGAGGCGCCGCGGACGCCGCATCCCGACTGCGGCCGGAGGGCTGCGCCTGCCTATACCGAGGCGCCCCCACGCCCTGCTCGAAACCCCGGGCGCTCCCGCAAGCCCCGCATCCACTTCCTCCCCGCGCCAAACTTCGGTTCGGCAGCCGAGACCCACGGAGCTGGTGAAAAGTTAGTCGCGGGGCTGCAAAGTCCCCTCTCCGGGGTCGGAACCCCCACTCCTGTGTTCCCTGGTGCCCCTGGCGTCCAAGGCTCCCCGTCCTCGCGGTCCCCACCGTCCCCACCCAGCCACCTACCTGCTCCCGCGGCCAGCCCCGGGCTCGGCCGGCCAGTCGCGTGGTCCCGTCCTCCGGAGCCCGAGCCCGGCCAGAGCGCCGGACAGGAGCTGGAGCTGCGAACAGCCAGGCGGCGGGCACAGGGAGCTACTGAGCGACTGAGCCAGCGATCCGGCGGGCGGCTGGAGCCGCAGCGGCTGCTGCGGAGCCAGCCCCCACCCGCTTCGTCCCTCGGCCCCTCCCTCTCCTTCCCGCCCAGCCTCCCTCCACCCGACTCGCAGCTCCCTCCCTCCGCTCTCCCGCACACCCGCCTCTTTTTTTCTCTCTCTCTCCCTTTGGCCCTTTCAGCCCCTGCTGTTTCGCGCGCGCCCGTTCGTTCTTTTTCCTGCCTTCAGCCTCTCTCTTCGGCAGGCCTTTGGATTCCCCTTTTCCTCCGATCCAACCCTTTCCAGCATCTCGCCTCATTCCTCCCCGCTTTCGCTCTTTTGCTCGTTTCTCTTGCTCCCTTGTTTCTCTATTTTCTATTTTCTCCTTCTAACCTCGCGGGTCTACTCCCCCTTCTCTTCCTTACTCCGCCTTTCCTTCGTGCTATGGTCGGGAGATCCCGGGCGTGGGAGTGGGGGTTCGGGAGGGTTAAAGGGAGCCAGGGGCGCCCCCAGGCCGTGCTCCTAACAGGCCGAGGACCGAGAGGGACGGGCAGGGCTGCAGACAGGGACTCAAGACAGGAACTCGAAAAATGTCTGAGCCAGGGAAATGGCAAGAAAAGGAAAGACCTCAAAATGTTAAGACCCAAGTCGGGCTGAGCTGTGCCTGGTGAGATGAGTAAACTGAGACCCAAGGAGAAGACGACAAGGGACTTGCCTTGCCAAGGTCTACTCCAGGCAAGGTCGAGACCCCCACTGCTCCTTGCAGCCTGGGACTGGGCTCCCTCGCTGATGCGGGGAGTTGCGAGGGCACCAGAGTCCGGTCAGCTTGTTCCCGTCACTTTGCCTGCCCCTGCGCTCAAGTCCCCGGGGCCACTGGGAGGAAGCCTTCCCCCCGCGCCCTGCGACAGCACCTGGGACCACCTGGCTGCCCCTGGACACTCCTAGTGAGGCTGAGCCGGGCGGGGGTAAAGACCTGGCTCTTACCTCCCACCCTTCTCCAGGAAAAGCAGACTCCCGCTTACAGGGGATGGGAATGATAGCAGGGTACTTTGCTCGTGGGGTTTGCCTTCTTTTGTCCTTGAACTAAAACCGGAGCGGGAAAGCCCAGGCTTGGAAAGGTGGCCATACACAGGTGGAGAGAGGAATTTTTGCAAATAAGGCAGGCCTAATGCTCTCCGTGTGTCTGTGCACCTAACCCTCCCGGGCCTTTCTGGGTCTGATGGGGCAAGTCCCTCCCCCAGAAGCTATTCCTGGCACTTCCTCATTTCAGCCCAGTGGAGTCCGGAGGAGAGACGTGGAGTCTCTGTTCCCAAAGAGTCCACCCTGTGGCCCCACATGACCAGGATTCTCCTAGTTTCAGCCCTCATTTCTGGGGCCAGAGTTTGCTCTCCTGTGCTACCAACCAGAAGCAGAACCTCCACTCAGCCCCTGGGTAAAAATCTACTTTGGGGTGCTGGCAAAACTCCGCACAATATTCTATTCATTCCTTACTTTGGGATATCAAATCAAGTCCAGAAAGCCCGGCCTGGGCCTCTGTGGTTCACACCACAAAACCAGAAGAAACATCTGCTCAAGGCTGGGACTCGGTGGGGCAGGTGGGGTGCTCACAGAGTCCGCAACTGAGGGTGAGTGCCACCTGAAATTCCCCTCTCAGAGCCTCCCTGCCTCTCCCGAGTCCCGAGTCCCCACTGCAGGCAAATCCTAGGGCTGGCATCATTTCCCCACCTGACTATGAAGAGGCTGAATTAGATGTTCTCTAAGATTTTCTCCAGCTCTGAGGTGCTACAGTTGGTAGATATCATAGATGCCAAATGTGTATGCCTGCTCCACCACTTACTGTGACACCGGGCAGTCACTAACCTGTTTCCCTATCTGTAAAATGGGAATGATGACCGTACTGTGAGCTGTGACGATGAAACCACATAATGCACCGAAGCACAGGTCCTGGCACAGAGTAGCACTTGACTACTGTGAGCAATTAATACTGCACAAGGTAGGATTTTGCATCTCTTTCCTTCATCTTCACATTTCCATTTTCATTGAGTTGCAATTACCCCCACGCCCCACCACTCTCCCTCTGTGTGGTAGCCATCCACTTATAAGTCTTGGACTTCAATTCTGATAGGTTTAGGAAGGTAGACAGGCCTTCCTGAATAACCATCTCATCCCATCTCAATGACCAATAAATAGGAAGCAACTCCCTCCCCTTCTCTTACACACTCACACCTGCCAGGCTTGAATTGTGTGTCTGAGGATTGCTGGCTCCCTCCATGCTGGGCTGGGGATTGCCTGGTTTTCTGCCACACTCTAAAAAGCCACACCGATCTATAAAGCTGCACCTTCCCTACCAAGATGGCAGGGCTCCAAGGACACATGTCCCAACAGAGCCAGAAACACTTTTAGCAAACATCTCTGAGGTTGGCTCGGGGTCACATGGAGCCCATGATACATCATTCATTTGTCAGTCTCTGAGTGCCTACGTACAGGAGGCACCACTCCGAGCAGCCCACTGCCATGTCCACCTTCAGCTCAACTGCAACAAGTTCATTCTAGAAGCTATGCCATCTAAGACCATGCTACTTATTGAGGGGCATATTTGAGGTAAAAATCCACTATTCTATGCTATAAGCCCTGCTATCAAAAAGTTTACATACCTGGTTGATCCTGCCAGAAAAAAAAAAAAAAAAAAAAAAATCAAAAAAAAAAAAAAAAAAAAAAAAAAAAAAAAAAAAAAAAAAGGGTAGGGGGCCTGGAAGAACCAAGGATTTGAAGCCTGAGTTCATATGTGACCACAAGCTAGTGCAATTGCACCCTCTGCACACTTCGGTCCAGACAGGGGTGAGGAGTGAGGAGGCCAAATCTCCAGTGAATAAGGGAGAGGACCTCCTTCTCTTAGAAATAAATTATCCCAGCCTGGCGCAGTGACTCACGCCTGTAATCCAAGCACTTTGGGAAGCCAAGGCGGGCAGATCGCCTGAAGTCAGGAGTTCAAGACAAGTCTGGCCAACACGGTGAAACCCTGTCTCTACCAAAAATAAAAAAAAGTTAGCTGCACGTGGTGGTGCATGCCTGTAATCCCAGCTACTCAGGAGGCTGAGGCGGGGGAATTGCTTGAACCAGGGAGGTAGAGGTTGCAGTGACCCAAGATCACACCACTGCACTCCAGCCTGGACAACAGAGTGAGACTCAGTCTCCAAAAACATAAAAATAAAAATTAAAAAAGGAAGAAATTATCTGAAGGCTAGGACACTGGACAGAGTGTCCAAGGCTTGGGCTACAGTGTTCTTCCCTTCAATTAAGTGTGCAGACAGGGAATTCTCTTTGTTTTCCTTCTCTCTCCCTCCTTTCCTTGATGAGAGATCGCCTTTCCCTCTCTGGCTTCCTGCAGAACTCTGACTCAAAGCCCCAAGCAGGAATATCCACAAAGCAGACCCAGGGATGACTGGAATTTGTTGAGTGACTGAATGATTTCAGAACTTGTGGGATCTTTTAAACCTTTAAGTGGAACATAACATGTCAGAGTGCTTGATGGGAGGACGTCTCCCTCCCCACCACACTAAGTATTTGGGGTCAGTACCATGTCTTATTTACCTTCATATCTGATACAAAGCCTAGCATAGGGCCTTGCCTTGTTACAAGAGTAAGTAAAATATCTATAATTTATTAATAAGATACACACATGAAATTATTTAAACTTCATGACAATTCTGTATAGTAGGCATTCTTATTTCCGTTTTACAGAGGAAAGACTGAAGGCCAAAGAAGGTAATTTACCCTAGGCCACATAGCCAGGAAGTGACAGAACCTGAATTTGGACTCAAGGTTGTTCAAAGCTCTTTTCTCAATGCTGTAGTGTCTTGCACTATGGGACTGAGACTAAGGCAACCTAGGGAGACGTTCACTCTCAGGGACCAAATGCACATACGCAACCCTGAAAGTAACCTTCAGAAAATGCCCCCAAAGAATTATAGAGAACTGTGGGACTCCTGTGGTCCTAGCCATCAATGAGGTACAGAGAAGAAACCAGTATCTAAGGTAACTCACCAGCATTACATCTGCTGATAGAACATACACTGATACAATCTACGCCAAACACATCTGCAAATATAACCACACACGACAATCCCGCCCAGTACACAAATTAGTGGGAGATGACAACCCAACACACCTACGCACACACCAATGCAACCCAAATGTCCCCCTGCACACACAAATACAACACAATTCCTGCACTCTTAAAAACAGGGCTGGGAGGCACAGCATCAAAATAAGACCCAAGTGGCATGACTCTTTGCTTTTTTATGAACCCACAACCACCCGTCAAAGTCTTGATTAACTTGGTCTTATTTATTAAATCATGTTCAATATTTAATAACTTTGAATATGGATTGAATATTTAATGAGATTGGTGGAGATCTATTTGTGTATATACATGAGAAGTGCCAATTGCTTTGAATTGAGAATTGAGTCTGTGACTCATTCTCAGAAGCTGATACTGGAGATCTCTCCATTCTTCATTTTCATAGATTTATTTAAATTATAGGTTATCATCATGACATTATTACACTATTATTTATTATGGGGCTCCACTATTATAACATTGCTAGGCAGTACCAGAAAATGTGGCATTTAGATACTGAATTTCCTTGCATCGAGGGAAACCTGGATTGGGGTCTCTTGGTTGCCTTCCTCCACGTTTACTAGGAAAGGGGCCAAATATGACACTGTGAGATGCATGCTGTCTTAAGCCCTCAATCCTCCCACAGGCACAAAATGATCTGGAGCCAATTTCTGTGTTCTACTTTGTCCAACACCAATTTCCAATTTGTCCAAAAGAAGAAACTCTACTTTGTGGACGAAGGACCAGCAACATGAATTTCTGAAACTTTTTTAACAGAAATAAGAGAATCGGATGCAAAACGCAATTTTCAGAGGCATCATGAAGATTCGTGAAAGTCCTTAGAAGATTTGAGATTCAAGAGCTCAATGAATAAATGTAA